CGCTGAGGGCGCCGCAGTTCACGCGCCGCCCTGGTCTTCCTGGAGGGCGGGGCCCCGGGAGGGCTCCCAGGGGTGCGCACCTTAGGGGGAGAGGAAGAAGGGACCCAGGGCCCTCGCTGCCCGGGAGAGCCCTTGGGGTCGGGTCCTGGGCTGTGTGGTTTTCGCATTCACATCTAAAGAAACAGAAAGGTCGGCTAAGTTCTCCAGCGCACGCTTCGCTCAGGCAGCCGGCAGAGTCTCTATGCGGCTCTCCTGGTCTCAGAAGTGGGAAGGATTCCTGGTGACGTCCTCTCGCTGATAATAGCAAAGCTTTTTTTAAAAGAGGAGGCGTGAAATAAAGGTCCCGCCATCAGAAATTTGGTCGGGAAGCCTGGACTCAGCTCCTTTGGGGAATCTTGCCAGGTGGTTGGTGAGCGAGGGACCCAAGTGTTGGTGGCTCACGGGGCTGCCCGGAGAGCACACGGCCTTAGGTGGACAGCCCAGCTAGGAAGAAGGGCAGCGAGACCCCAGGGGGGTGCCCAACAGCAGCTAGGCCCCCAGTTCCCACCCTCTGGCCTGCCAGGCCCTCTGCTGTCTATGGTGGGCACTCCAGGTGAGGGCTGGGACCTGGATGCTCAAAGTGGGGCCTCCCACAAGGTCATTGTCTGTACCCTGCTCCCCTAGACCCTGGATCCAGTGTGGCATCCTGGACCAGCTGCCGCCAAGCCCCTCCTGAGAGGTGCTCCCACCAGGCCCTGCAGGTTCCCTACAATCAGCCCTGCCTCTCTTCCCAGCCACTCACATCTCAGGGCCTTCTCCAGGCTGGTGGCCCACAGCCCTGCCCACCTACAAATAACAACGTTGTTGGTGTGGACATTTGTCATCCTGTGTCACAGCTTCAGTAATTCCTAGGTCCAAAAGTTTAGACGACTTAGGGGCCCTCTCTAAGAAAATACAAAGTACAAATTAGATATAAAGGTCAATCATTTAGAATAAGAACAGTCACAGCTATACATTTTAAGATGCTAAAAATTGCGTTACAAAACAAAAATAACAGTACTTGTTTTTTAGTCTTAGAACCCTTTTGTGGGGGGGCTTTGTATCTTTGAATGACAGTGGTTTTTTTACATTGCTTTGGTTTTGGTTGGTTTGGTTTTTTTGGCGTTGGGGCTGGAATCCAGGGCTTGAGGCATACTGGAATTGTGCTGTACCCCTGAGCTGCATTCACAGCGCCTGTCCTGTTTTCCATGGAAAGAATAGAAAGGAATTAATTACTCAGCCTGTCCTGTAGCATGGCTGATTGAAATTTATTAACAACAGTTTAAGAAGAAAATTGTTATTAGTCACGTGTTACAAATCTTTACGGTTGCCATCATTGAAAAATATTGGTTTTCTATTATATATTGATATATTTTATATGTTAGTTATAGGAATTCCCCCACAGACTTGCTCCTAGCTGCACACAGCCAAAATCTTGTTTCTTGGGGAGACCTGCACAGTCCCCACGCTGGCTGCCACACACACACACACACACACACACACACACACACACACACTCCCTCCCCACCCCCTCTCTCTGTCCCCACGCTGGCTGCCACACACACACACACACACACACACACACACACACACACACTTGCTCACCACACCTCCTCTGTCCTGTGCACTGATGTTCGTGTACCAGGAGCATCTGTGGAGGCCATTCCTTCACAGAATGCAGGCAGTGACTTTTAGACAGATGCAACTGCAATCCCCACAGATAGGTCCATCAAACCCAACGTGTCTCTGCTCAGCTTCCCTTTAGCCAAACCAACCCCTCCACTCCAGTGCCGAGGATGCCGTGCCTGAGGAGGGAGGGGCATGGGAAGGAGGCAGCTGGGATTTACAGCTGGAAGGGGTCACTGCGTACTCACCACAGATGTTGGTATGAGGCTTCCCACGCCCTTCTTGCAGGAAGGTGGGACCTCGACTTCCAACTGCTTCTCAGTAAAGCTCACCTCTGTGCCTACAGCAGGCTCAGGACAGAATGGGGACACAAAGCCCAGGACCCAGTGTCTCCTTTCTGCAGCTGCCATACATACCCTTGAGAATGTAGCTCCCAGTGCATAGCCCTGAGGACATCTGATGGCCCATCCCCTGCTGGCCAGACCCAGCACACTTCATGGCAATCACAGCACACCTGCTGTGTTTTTTGCCCAGCTCCGAGCCATTGCCTCCAGCTGGAGGGTCTCGGCCTTCTCCCTGCCCTGTGGAGCTGGCAGTCTTCTGGCTTTCCTCACGCCCCCTAAGGTGGGATGTTTGAATGTGGATACCCTCTGTCCATTCTGCATCCCTAGAGCAGAATGTGTGTCCTGGAGGCTCTGGGCCCCTCTCCTACTTGTGAGGCGTGCTGTGCCAACACAGTGTGGTTGGATCTGTGATTTCTATTGTAGCCACACAGAACTGAGCAAGCAAGCAGTAAAAGGAGTAATAAAGGCGCCTGGGTCAAGACAGTGACACCCTGTCCAGCTGGCTCCAGCCTGGTCCTGTGCCCTGAGGGCATTGCTGGTGGTTTCTGGGGGTTTCACCCACTTTCTGAGTAATCTGCCCTTGAGCTTTCTTGAGTCTTGTGATGCAGCCACTCCCCTGCTCCATTCTATCACTTTTATGTCCACACTGGGCCACCGTACGGATGCAGCTCATGGGATCCTGAAGCTGAGAGAGGTCCCCTGCCCCACAGCTTCCGCTGGCTTTCCTGGCTCACCCCTGCTGATGCCATTGGGGTAGTCTTTTTAGTGATTTCATTGATTACTGAGATATATCACCATCACCAGCCCTTTGCTACGGTTTTAATGTCTTTACTTGTTACCTGCTTTTAAATGGTGATGCTAAAACACTGCTGAGAAATAGATTCATCCGACTGTATTTGTGGGGCGATTCTGGGCTTCAGCCTCTGCTCTGAGTGTGATGGGTGTGGGGTGAGGTTTTGGCAGCGCTCAGCACAGGCCACCCTGGCTGTGAGGCCCGCGGCACTGTGGGGACTGGAACTGGACATGGGATAGGAAGCCACATGTGGGGGACTGTGGGGAAGAAGGGGTGGGAGGTGAGATAAGGGGTTGCCCCCGAGGGGATGCAGGGTGAGACAAAGGAGAGGCCAAGGATGACTCCAGGGCCTTGGGCTGGAAGCCTGGCTGGAGGACTTGTCCGCAGAGGGGACCCGCAGTGGAGCAGGCTGGGTGGAAGTTGCCTGTCCACTCAGGGATGTGGTGAGTTTGGATCAGCTGAGGAGAGGCTGGGAGATGCAAATACGGGTGTCATGGAGGAGCAGGACTGTGGTTGCGGTGGGAAGGACGAGCGGCAGGTTACCTGGGTCCCTCGCCAGGACCCCAGGGCCTGCTTCTCTATGGGAGGTCCCGGGAGGCCACCCTGCGGGAAGGGCCCTCCCTCTCTCCTGGGGCAGGCGGTGACCACACCAGCTCCAGGCTCCCCAGGACTCTGTCACAGCCCTGTGTCCATGTGCTCCGCCTCTGCTGAGCCCTGAGTGGGATTAGCCTTCATGAAGAATGCTGAAACTTTCGCCAGCATTTAGTGGTTTATTTGGTGCCGAGGATGGAGCCCAGGCCTCATGCCTGTAGGTGAGCCCTCATCCGCTGACATTTGAGGCATCAGCAAGGAGAGCTCCCAGAAGCACAGGGGCAGGTGCAGGGTGGCAGCGCCTCTGGTCCAGGCCCCTCTGGCCTGACCCACCCTGTGCCAACTGCTGCTTTCCTTGCATAGCACTGTGAGAAAAGACAGCACAAAGCAGAAGCTGTCTGAGAGGAGTGGAAGGGAGCCCAGAGGCACCTGCGGCCCATGGCAGAGCCCTCCTGCCCGGTCCGTGCTCTGGAGCGTGGAAAGCCCTCCCAGGCCTCTCCTAAGCAGCGGCAGGTGGAGGCAAGGACAGCCGTGGCCTGGGAGATGCTAGTGAGTCCAGGACCCCTCCCATCTAGAGCAGAGGGCTTGGGGGGCAAGGTGCTGGGAACCAGGTCTGGACAGGGAGGCGGGTCATGTTGGGCTGGCTTGTGGCTTCTAGCAGCTTCCCTCCCACCCCGGAAGATTGGAGCCCACCCAGGGAAGGTGCTGTGCCCCGAGGCTTGGCCAGTCTCAGGATCTCGGGGTCAGCTGTGGGCGTCAGCTCCATTCAGGGACTGAGGATCCAGAGCACCTGCACTGGGCTGCTTTCCCTGTGCTTGACCTTTGTGTGACCTTGAGCAACTCGCTGGCAGAGTCTCTCAGTTTCCCTTTTCTCAGTCCTGGGAATGGAACCCAGGACCTCCGACACGGAAGCAAGAGCTCCACCCTGAGCTGCACCCACCCTCATCTCTCCCTGTGGTTATTATTATCCTTAGTGTCACTGTCAGGGCTGAGGAAGCTGGCATGTGTGACCTGCGGCCAGCGATGCCCAGGGCGCACTGGGCACTGGGTTAGAGAGCTCAGCGTGTCCCGGGCCACGGAAATGGCTGGGAGATGCTTCAGTCCTGGGGAGGGGAGGCAGCTGCAGAGGAGTGTTGCTGTCCCCGGAGCGCAGGATGCAGTAGGTCCCCAGCTTCTGTGCAGGAAGTGGTTTCCTCGGGCTGCTGTGGAGGAATGCTGAACCCAGTGTGAGGCCAAAGGAGGCATAGGGCCCTGAGCGTGGGGATCTGCTGGCCTTGTGCCTGGAGAACCCATAACCATGGGTTTCCTTCCCTGCCCAGTGCCCCTCTCCTCTCAGTGAAGGGTGTGTGGTGGCCTGTGGCATGATAGCATGGCCGTGTGACATGATGTGACAGCCACGGTGTTTCCTGATAGCTTATGACCTTTCAGGTTTGGCTGCTTGTCATATGAATGGGTCTCCTCCAGAGACCAGAACACAGGTAGTCCGGTGAGGCCCAGAAAGGGCCACTCAGTGAGAGCAGCACCCGGGTTGAAGGCCACTAGGCAGGGAAAGCCCGTGACGTTGGGGCGGGTCCCCGACCCCGCAGGAGTCCCACTGTGCCAACAGAAGGAGGCCCACCCACAGTGGAGAGGCCAGGGCACCATGTTCTACCAACCCAAAGCCCCTGGAGGAAGCCCAGAGGAAAGTGTTTGACCATACACCTAGGCTCCTGGAGCCCAGACAGGCTGGCATTTACGCAGCACTGGCCCCTTGTGGTTCACACAAGTCGAACCTGAACATGGGTGCACCCCCAGGCCACAGCTGTGGCACGTTTCCCCCACCTGACAGAGGGAGGACACAGCGCCTGATGAGCTCCTTGGGAGTCCATTCCGTGGGCGATGGCACCAAGTCCGGTTCTGGAGGGCCCAGCTGCCGGGTCGGGGTTTGCAGGGATGGTCTGGGGGACACGGTGCAGTTTGCAGCAGGAAATGCAGTGGGCACCTTGCACGTCTCTGAGGCTGGCACAGGTGGCGCGCCATTCCTAGGCTTCGGGATTCAGGCCGTGCTTGTGTCTTACACGTTAATAGGATGCTGCTGGCGGCCTGTGAAGTGCTTGGTTAGTGGTAACTGGAAACACTTGTGAAGAGCAGCGCGCTCTGATCGTGCCTGACTCTCTGAGCCTAGGGGAGAGCAGCGAGCCCAGCCTGCTACCTCTGTGACTGGCAGAGGGCAGTGCTGCTGATTTTAAGTGAACATACTTAAGAACATTTTACCGTCTCCTTTCCTCTCTGTGCAGGGAAACATGTAAATTAAGGTTTTCGCAGCCAATTGTTTGAAATCCCTGTTCGGGACTCGGTCCATGTGTGCGTGGCTTTCTGGTCGGCCATGCCATCACATTTGTGAGACACGTGTCTGGGAGTCTGTAGGACAGTGGGGACCTGGGTGCAGTGGGGCTTCTCTGGGATGCCTGACTTACTCGTGAGGCCGCCAGGGTCAGCACTGTGACTGCAGATGGGACCCAGGGGTTTCAGTCCTGCTCTGTCTGCTCTCAGGAGCAGTTTGCCCTCTGGACACCCTAGTGCTAGTACCAAGTTGCTAAAAGCGAGAAGGAGGGAGCCTGCTGCCAGTACCGCTGTTTGTCTCCACAGTCAGAGTCTGCCCGGCAAAGCCCAGAGCAGTGCAGCTGCTGACAGCTGCTGGGCCATGGTGTCCTGGAGCAGTTCCTGCCCTGAGCAGCACACGATCCAGGAAGGGACGGGACACAGGCCCGGCGGTGGTGGTGGTGGGACCCCTCGGGTCCTGGAGGAGCCGGGCTGCAGTGGGTGGGGGAGGGACGTCCTGTCTGAGCATGAGGAGGTGTGGGGGACCCCAAGAGGGGCATTGGGCCCAGTGCTGCCAGGGCTGGACCCGAGGCACAAGCCAGGCAAGGGAGCATGTGCCTGGGAGTCTGAGGCTGGTCCAGATGATGTAACAACTACTGTCTCGGAACGGGAGAGAGATGAGGCGGGCCAGGTGGATACCAGGCCAAGTGGCGAGGCCAGTGTCTGATGGAGAGCAGACAGTGCACCGCTGCAGAGACACCACCGAAGGGCACAGGGGTGTCTTTGTGAAACAGTGCAAGGGAAACCACTGGCGCAGCCACAAAGGCACATTTCGTAGAGCAGAAATGGGCACTTGGGCTGTGAAAGAACATGACTCACATCCACCTTTGCGGCCAGGCCTTCCTGGGCGCCCTCCTGTGGGCCACAACAGAGCCAGCACACTGCACCCAGAGGCCCAGCACGTGCCCATCCAGGTACGGCCGTGCCTTTGAGGAGAGTCCACAGAGCCTTCCGGGCTCTGGTCAGGGGTGGCGCAGTGGTGAGCACCTGCCTAGTGCTCAGGGCTGGTGTCAGTTCCATCCCAGCACTTGAGAGACACGGGCTGTCTGAATTTCAGGTAGTGTGAGCTCAGTGCACGGCCCCCAGACGTCCTTATCCACTCGGCAGCTGGACACAGAGGCCCTGGGTGTGACAGCCCAGCACAGGCTGCAATCCAACTGTGGGCCGACAGGGTTCCCACACAAAGGACAGAGTCCCTGGCAGGGCAGAGGCCAGGGGTTCCGAGGTGGCTGTGCACTCCCTGCGATGCTCCTGTCGGAGACGCCCATGTAGGAGGTGACACTGGAGCAGAGTCAGACCGGACTGAGTGGTGCTGCTGCTGGAGCGTGACATCCAGAGAGAGGAGGGACGGGCAGCACAGCAGGGGCCGCGGGAGCTTCCCCAGGGACACCTGGGCTGGCGCGCCCGTCCAGCTTCCTGGTGACGCTGGGGGGCCCTTCCGTCCCCTGGGCTGAGGGGTGCTTCCTGCCAGACAGGGTAGCCCAGCGGCCCCACGTGCGCCTGTGTGCGACAGGGGCCCGTGCACAGGAGCGTGGGGCCCTTGGCCTTCGAGCCTGTCCTCATCACCTTGTCCTAAGCACATCCCCTGGTCACACCACAGGAAGGCAGGGTGGCTGAGCCGTGCTGACACCCAGGTGCCGCTGCTGGGAGGTGACAGGGAAGAAGGAGTCTGCAGTCCCGCTGTCTCTGCTCACCGGTACCCTCAGGCCTGACCTGCCATGGTGCAGTGGGCATGGGGGGCTCTGCAGGGAGCTGCATCTGGCTGTGGCGGGAGAGTGGTCTGAGAACCGGGGGTGGGGCTCCACACTCAGTCCAGCGTCTTCTCTTTTGATGCTGGGAATTGAACCCAAGACCTTCACACTAAACTACAATCCCAGTTATTTTTTCATCTTTTATTTTGAGACAGGGTCTTCCTGAGTTGCCCAAACTGGTCTCAAACTTGGGATACTCCTGTCTCAGTCTCCCAGAGAGCTGAGGTTATAGCTGCGTCACCACGCCTTGCTCAGCCACAGCTGTCGTTTCAGGAAGACCCTGGAAGCTCAGCACTACACCCTCTGGTTAGGGAGTCTTTGTCTACACACAGGGATACAGGCACATCACACACATGGTGCCCTCACCAGAAGTACGTGCCTTGTGCAAGTGATGCCAGCACACCCAGCACACGCATGTGCACATCACACACTGAGTCACCCTCACTGCAAGGCCCAACTCCGCACCAAGAGGCTCATCTGGATGCGCTCGGAATTTAGGGCTCCTGGTGAGTACTGGTGAGAGGCTGAGGCGGTGCAATCTCTTAGACACAAGCCCCGGTGGAGACCTGCGTGGAAAGGGACAGCCATGTGCAGGGTTTTGCCAGGGCAGGCTAGCAGCAGGCCAGGCGGAAGCTGGCAGGAACAGGAGCAGCTGCTACTGCATGGGGCTGCTTTCTGCTGTGTTTCCATTGTTGTCCGCCACACTCCAATTCTGCTAGGACAGCATCAGGTATTTTTATAGCTCAGATTTAGAAGCGCAGTGCCAGGAACTCCATACAGGGACAGGGCACAGAGGCCACCGTGAGGACAGCCAGGGGAGGGCTGGGCATGGAGCTGTCAGCTCACCGAGGTCACATGTGTGTGTGCATCTCCAGAACCTTCCTGGAGTCACCAGTGTGGGAGACAGTCCCGACCCAGGCGGGGCTCAAAAGGCACCTTCGCGAGCTTGGGGGACTGGGCAGTGGGAACACAGGGTTTGGATGGCAGGAAGGGCCCAGGGTCAGTCAGCAAGCCGATTAAGAAAGGAGGGCCGGCTGGCTGTGGAGGCGGGGCTTAATGCACACTCCTGGGACCTGTCTGGGCTGCTGCCAGCCTGGCCCGCGCCCCTGGCTTGGGTCCCGGCATGGGCTGGAACAGGACGTGTTGCAGCTCACACGGCTGCACAGTGGGCACCGAGCCCCGGAGCCTCTAGCCCGCCACACGTCCTGAGTCGCAATCTGTCTCTCCCAGTGCCCGCTGTGTTGGTAGTGTGGCTTCACAAGGGCATCCTGCTTTGTGAGGTTTATAATGTGAATTAGATCTTCCACCCAGATCTCCTAAATTCCAGTCTGTGGGCTCACAGGGGAAGAGGTGGAGCTGAGCACTGCCCCCGCTTTCTTTCAGACAGATCCTGTCATGAAGCGTCATGCCCTTTTTCCAAACTACGCTTTTCTTTTCCTCCACAGAAAACCTGCTTCCCAGCAGGGCAGCAGGCCTTCGGCAGGGCGTCTGTCCTGCCCAGACCTGCTGCAGGGCGAGGCCTCGGGCTCCCAGGAAGCTGGGCCGGATCTCAGGGGGTCCCCGGTGGAGAGGGGGTAGCCACAGACCCTGAGCTCCAGTGAGCAGAACACCATCGGCCTGCACGAGGGGCCTGCAGGTTCTCAGCCCCATGTGTTTGTTTCAGGTCATCAGAAAAGCCTTCACTGAAGAAAAACATGTCTCGACAAAGACATCTGCAGCAGACCTCGTGACAGAGACAGACCGCCTCGTGGAAGATCTGATCATTTCTGAGTTGCGAAAGCAGTTTCCTTCGCACAAGTGAGTGTTACAGGCCCCAGTGGGACAGATGTGCACCCCAGCCCTCCTCGCAGGGAAGCAGACCAACTCCACCTCCCTTCCTGTTGTCCCCACCCCGTGTCCGTGTGTCACCTTACACATGTGGAGGAGCTCCCTGCAGCCCCCCCTGATCCACCTGCGTCTCCAGGAGGCTCTGGTGAAGCACAGCCCGTGGGAGAAGCCAGCAGTGGTGTCACAGGGTAACACCTGGAGAACACAGCAGGGGCTGGTGGCCACCACTGGAGTGAGGACATAGGCCAGTCCCAGGCAGCTATCCCCAAGGCTCTCTAGGGACACCACTCTGTCCTCAAGAGCCAAAGCCTTCACCCTGCAAGGTGACTTGTGGAGGGTTTGACATAGCCACTAATCGCTTCCTCGGGAAAATTAAAATATTTGCACAGCATTTTACACCCATTTCCCAGGAGGGCGCATACCATGGACTGGGCCCTCTTCTTTAGCTCTGAGCAGCTCCTAGCCCACACCACCCCCCTTGAGTTTACAAACAGCTTAAAAACCAGTGATCAATAGTAGCATGGACGCAGAGATCTCTTCCTCTTTAGGTAGCATCTTTTATTAAAATTATTAGGTTTCTAAAACTGGAATACCAGGTGTGGTTTCTGCACATGAGTTATTGTACCTGTCCGGTTGCACTCTTTTTTGTTTGTCTTGCTTTTTGAGAGAGGTTCTTGCGGTATGATCCAGGCTGGCCTCAGACTTGCCGTCCTACTCAGCCTCCCGAATGCTGGCCCACGTCCCTTGTTTATGTGATCCTAGGGGCAGAAGCGTACAGGATATGGTGGGCTTGGCCTCTGCTGGGATCTGTCCATTTCCCTGTGGGTGAAAACCAATCTCGTGCCCTTTTCTGCTGCGGCTTCCTGGGAGCTGGCTAGATTCTCTTGGCGACCTGCCCTCCCTTCGAAATTCTTTTCCGTTCTATGGGCAACCTCTGTGTCTGAGCTGCTGTCATCTCTTCTGTCCTCACCTGGCTTGAAGTCAGGACCCCTGGCGTGTTATATGTATAAGCTCTGACATATTCATGCATTTTTAGCTTTTCAAACCAAATTTTAATTAAGTGGCAGTCATTTAGATTGCTTTTACTCTAAGAAACACTGCAGCAGTGGTGGCAAGCCTATGGGTGTGCAGTGGGCCGTTTGCATCATTGAAAGCTCTTCAGGAAGCCATCACTGTGCTATAGTAACCAGCCACCCTTACTGACTGCAGGTCTGGACGTTTTCCTGTAAAATAGTCATTGTGAGGGTGGTGACAGGAGGCTAGGCTCAAGGAAAGCCTTGCAGTCCCTGCAAGACCAGGCACAGTGGTGTCCCTGGGCTTGGGCATGTCACTCAAGTGGCTGGGTGGCCAGTTCACCTGCACCCGCAGCCTTGCCCAGGACTTGGTGCACTGCTGTTTGACTGTGGAGGAAATGCCACTTGGATGGGCAAAGGAAGAGTCTGCTGCTGTGTGTGGAATAAAAGCCACGTCCTGGGCCCCACCACCCACAGAGGGGCCGAGAGAGGGCGTGAGCCAAGCAGGCTCTCCCTGAGGCCCACGAGGGGAGCCAGCCATGTGGGATCCAGGGATCGGTGACTCAGACAAGCTGCCCTCACCCCGGGCCCTGGCCACACCTGGGGCCCCTGGGCTTTAAGGGCCAGGACTGTAATGGGCCAAAGACTGGAAGCCAGGCCTTGGTTTGCTTAAAACACTTCAATGAAGGGTTTCTGACCACACTTAAGATTCTACAGCAGTAGAATCATGGGCATTTATTGTTTAGCTCATATCCAAATGGATACATTTTGAGTAAGAGCAAAATGCACATATATCATAAATAGTACGTTATAATTTTTCTGTTTTCAAAGTAAGTGTCCCTTAAAAAGTGTATTGAGCTGGGCATGGTGGCGCACACCTGTAATCCCAGCACTCGGGAGGCTGAGGCAGGAAGATTGCCACAAGTTCGAGGCCAGCCTGGGCTCTGGTGAGTTCAGGGCCAATCTGAACTATAAGAGGAGAACCCCCATCAAAAAGCCAAACAAAACCAAACCAGTATGTTGGTGGTAGATTGCCTGTCACCCTGTCATAGGAACTTTAATTCTCACCTTTTGACCTTCTTTGGTTTTACTCTTTCATAAAATAATGCTGAAGAAGGATCATAACAGTCTTGTCTCTCAGTAACACACAAAACAGCCCAGTGCAGCCTTCCTGTGGATCTCACAGGTCCCAGTCCTGTGAGGGTGTGAAGTGGAACAGAGAGCAGTGAGCTCTAGGCCTGCTTCTGCCATCTGGGGCCGCGACCTCTGGTCCCACAGCGAGGGCTTGGCTCAGCCGGGGCAGCCCCACATCACAGTTGCCTCCTCCTGGGCCAGGTGCTGACAGAGAGTGGACCCAGCGAAGGTGGGCTCTTCGGGGCGGGCCCCCTGGAGCACCGGGGCCCCTCTGCCAGCTCAGCGTGAGCACCAGCCCTGTTTCCACCGATGCCTTTGAGTCAGACCCCGGGCTGCCACCCGGAAGTACCTGGCCCACTGGGCTGTGACCCCATCCTTGTTCCCTGCTCCGAGACTGGCAGGGACAGAGGACGGTGGCCTGAACTGCCCAGGGTGTCCCTGGGGAGGGTCCTGTGGCCCAGTGCTCTCTGTGTGTCCAGCGTAGGTGAGGTCTGCTGGGTGCATGAGTCAAGCAGAACATGGAGCAGAGTCCTTGGCAAGGAAGGAGCCTGTGCCACCCCGTGCCGGGCGTGGGCTTCCCGTCACTCCTTTGCCGCCTTTGCCCACCCTCGGGAAACCCAGGCAGGCAGGCTGGCTGGCTGGCGGGCACAGGTCCTTCCTTCATGCACCTCAGACACGGTCCGCCCTTGTCACAGAGTAAACACAGAGTAGCCAGGGAAGCAAGGCTTAGAAGTACTTGCTGTCAAAATTATAAGGAAAGTGTTACAACTGTCTTCTAAGAGGAAAGAGAGAAAAGTAGTTAAGTCAAGATGTAGAATGTGTCATTGCAACTCGCAGCCGGTTGTTAAAGCCTATCTTTCCCTTCTCTCCTCTGCTGGAACGGTTTCTGGGGCGGTCCTCCAGCTCAGAGTCAGGCAGGCACTTTGGATTTTCTGTGTGTTAGGGACTTGGGGAGGTGTCGCACTGGGCTGTGGGCTCACACCTGCACACAGACTGCCCGCACCTGTGCGGTGAACCGTGGAGTCAGTCTCCCGCCATAGAGGCATTTGCTTCCAACGGGAAGACGGTCAGGCGATGGACGTGAAAGTTCTGCGCCCCTCCCGCACCCGCTGTGGGGTTTTCTTGGTGCCCAGAGGGGCCTGGCTGCCCACTGCTGCCTGCAGGGGCGCAGTGAATGGGGGGAGGGGTGCAGCACGGAAAAACTGGGTGAAAAGAGGAGAGGGGTCAGCAGCTGGAGGACAGCGGGCTCAGGTGGCACTGTGAGTACCCCAGCGGCACACCATGCAGAAGTGTCTTGAGCAGGCTGGTCAGCGCCCACACGTTTGTCCTGAGAGCCACAGACCCAGCCACTTGTCCTGAGCAGCCCGGGGACGCGCTGCAGGACGGCTGTGTCTTCCGGGCATGCTGGTGAGGTCCAGGTGTCCATTTGCAGATACCACCCCTCCCCTCAGGGACTTGTGGTCCCCCAGCTCCTGCTAAAAGGAGGCTTGGCAAAGAGGCCAATTCCTTCCCACTTCCCAGAGCTCATCTCTGTATATGTCATCTGTCTCTTTTCATGGCTCTGATCAACCTCACACCCAGTGTCAGCGTCGATACGTGTGTGCGTGTGGGGGGCGGGGTGTGGGCAGTGTGTTTTGGGATTGGACTGTTTTCTTTAAAAACACAATTGCAGGCCTGGGATTTAGCTCAGGGGTTCCACTTGCCTCGTAAGCACAAGGTCCTGAGTTCGGTCCCTGGTACAAAATAATAATAAAATAAAATAACACAATTGCGAGGAAATTAGGTAGCTGCAAAAGAAGACAGTGCAAACAGACGGAGCTGCCGAGTCCCCAGCTAGCAGTGGCAGGGGCCAGGCACAGCAGGGCCTGTGCGGTGCCCCAGCTGACCCTTGGAGACTTATCTGGAGAGGACCAGTCAGGCCCAGTCTGGTGGGACCGAGGAGAGGGAGGGTCCATGGGGAGGAGGCACTGGGTGCAGAGCAGCAAGGTCCTCACTGTGCTGGCTGTGGGTTCCTCACCTTGGACTGCAGCTCAGCCTGGCCTGATCTGTCACCTCGTGGTGCCCGGCCTGCTGATGTGAGGCCCCTCGGGGGCCGAGGGTGGCACAGCAGTGGAGGTGCCATGCACGTGACACACCCGCCTCGTCCAGATGCAGTGACGGGTCCTCTGCACCACAAAGGCCACACAGTGGGTCACAGTGTACAGAGCACAAGGCCATCCTGGGTGTGCTCACTCCCCTGGGACACTTAGGACACTCCTTTACAGAGACTTCATGCAAAGGGGACCAGGCCAACTGCGGAGGGTGGGAGCTGGGGCTGGAGTAGGGCTGTGTCCCCGGCACAGGAGTGTCCAGGAGGCCACCCGGAGGGGGACTTGCATAGGGACTCTGTGGGCGTGGGGAGAGAACATCCTAAAACCCCACCTGCTTTCTCCACAGGGAAGCTGGGCCCAGGGAGGGTGGCAGGAGAGGGCATGAGGAGGGCCCACAAGCCAGGTGCAGGGCCATTGTCGCCTGCATCTGTGCAGGCTGCAGGCCAGTTGGCCCTTGTGTTCTGGTCACAGCGCTGCAGCAGGAGAGCCACAGCCCTGCCGGCTGCACCCTTGCACCTCCCACTAAGGGAGGACAGTGAGCCTGTGCTCTGCGAGACCTGCCAGCCATCTCTGTACCCTTGCATCTCCCATCAGGCCTGCTGCTGCCCCAGCTCTCCCAGAATGCCCATGCAGGGTCCCTCTGGTTGGTCTCTGTCTGTCTGCCTGCCTGCTTGCTGGATGCTGGGATGGAGGAGTGGGCCATGCAGTGCTGGGCAGGCGCTCTGCACTGAGACACACACACACACACCCCATCACTGCTCTCCCCAGTCTCAGTGGAGAGCAGGACTCCACCTTAGGTCACACCCAGAACCCTCCTGAATGTCTGTGCTGCACCTCCTCTTTCCTTAATGCAACAGGGAGCAGCTTGAGGCCCATTGCCTCGTATTCCTGGCCATCTACTCAGGCTGAGTCCTCACCGCAGGTTCATCTCAGAGGAGGCCACGGCTGCCGGGGCCAAGTGTGAGCTCACAGCCAGCCCGACCTGGATCATTGACCCCATCGATGGCACCTGCAACTTTGTGCACAGGTGAGCGAGGCAGCCCTCTGTACTTCCTGTCCTCTAAAGGCAGGGCATAGCAAGCCTGGAGCGGGGTACATAGGCTCAGGGAAGGCTGAGCACATCGCAGCCTTTCCAGCCTTCCCTGTGAGAGGTCCTGAACTAGTAGGCAGTGGTGATGTTTCAAATATTCGCTTGGATTTGGGAAGGGGCCCTTGTAGAGCCTGTGTTCCCTAGCAGCCTGCCAAGTCTGAGGAGGGAGGGGCTTAGGGAGCTCTGCTGCAGACTGGGGAGGTGACAGACACCACCATGGACCCAGGACACCCCCCACTCTGTCTCCATGCTGCTGGCTAAGCCTGAGCTGTGTGAAAGGCCACACACCTGTCCAGGGCCTTGCCTGGCCTCTGGTGACCCCACGGTTTCCAGTGGTTCCTCTGCAGCCCTCAGGAGCCAGGCAGAGAGGCTGCTGGGAAAGAGTGTGGTGTGGTGTGGTGTGAGTCCCAGGGTCCCAGGTCACCACAGCCTCCACCATTGAGCGCTGTGGCCCAGGTGCTGGCCACAGCGGGCACTTGGAGTGCCAGACCCAGCCAGGGCTCCCACGCACCTGGTGGGCAGTTTTGTTATGTGATGCATTTGTATTTTTGCCTGCCAGTCCACAGTCCCCGACCCTTCCTCATACCCTTCAGTGTGGCTTGCCCGTGCTGGGCTGAGGGGGCTCAGACAGGGACCTGGACAGGGCTGGGGAAGGCAGCAGTGTTCAGAACGGGGCTCCTGTGGAGACCCTGTCCCAGGGCGTCCACACCCGAGGCCTCCTGGAGTTGGGGTCACCGCTGAAGTATGCCATCCCTCTCACACAACTCTAAGGACACAGCTGTCTCGGAGGTTGACAACCTCATGATACAGCTGGTGGAGGAAGCAGCGAGTGAAGTAATGGGACATTGTTTTTAAAAACAAACCCAGCAGTGTGAGCAGGACCTGTGTGTCCGGCGTCCCACATCATGCCCACGTCTGTCCCTGCAGGTTCCCCAATGTAGCAGTGAGCATCGGATTTGCTGTTCACCAAGAGGTACGCAGGGGTCCTCCTGCTCCCGCCTCTGTTCCTCCTACTTGCTTTTTGCTGTGCCTCAGCCGTGAAGAGGAAAGCCAAGTGTGTGTCCTCCAGTCCACACCGTGCGGTGCTGTGCGGGTCCCCTGGGGCGGCCCCGTCTCCACATGGACTTCAGGCTGCTGAAGAAGGCCACGTTCCAAGCAGATGGCCACACTGGTGTCCCCTGACCCCTAGAGCGTGTGACCTGTTACAAACAGAAGGAGGCTCCTATTTTTGGAGAACAGCTCCCATCTCCGCAGTCTTCTGGTTCTTTTTATCCTCCCTGGCCGTTAGCATGAGAATGCGGCCCTTTCTGGGTTCCCAGGGCCTGGAGGAGCCCCGAGAGTCATGAGACCTGCAAGCCTGGCTGGAGGCTGAGCCTGTTAATCCCCCTGAGCGGAATGCACGAAGAGGCCTCATTTCCCTTATTTCTCGAAGGCTCCATGGTTTTGTTGAAATGGGGCTGGGGACTTGGGGTCTCTCAAAAGCAGCCCCCTTGGAACAGCATTTGTCACCCCCAACTTCGTCATCTTGTAGATGTCTTTCCAGCTGGGGGAGACAGAGGTCTGCACACATCCCACAGTCTCCACTTGGCGTCAGTGAGAATTTTAGTAGTGAATTTCGGGTAGGAAGCTAATAGCTCGCTGGTGTCTGTTGGGTGACAGAAGCCGGGGAGTGGGGAGGCCTGACAGCACTGGGGTGACACCCAGGAGCCCTGGTCTCCAGTGGCAGGAGAGGCTGCGGGAAGGAAGGCCACGGGCAGGGACAGTGGCAGCCAGGTCCTCAGCCCGGCTGCTGTCGGCTGTGCTGCCCACGTCCCTGTAGCTGAGAAGCTGGCCCTGACCTCTTGTCCCCTGCTCTTGGGTCCCCAGTGCAGTGCCCACTGACAGGGTATATGTGACCCCAGGCACCCCTGGGGCGAGTGGCCACAAGGAATGGGAAGGGGCTGACGCGGAGACCTGGTGGTTTTCACACCTCCCCTCCTTTGCCTCTTCCTCCTGAGAGACTGATCTGTGACCATTTCCAGGGTGAGCTCTCAGGTCCCTGGTTGACCTTGCTGTCAGAACCAGGGGACTCCTGCGGACATAGGCAGCCTTTCCCTTGTGTGCCAGGAATCGGACTTGGTGCCTGGTGCACACAAGCCAAGCACTCCACCGCCTAGCCCCAGCCCTAGCCCTGGAAGAGGCTTTTCTAAAAATGAAGTTTTTCTATATGTTTGGGTTCCTAATACTTGATTATGATAATTTTAATATACTTTTGTTTGCCTTAGTGTGTTTCAAAATATAGTTACTTAAGAAAAGAACGCTTGCTTTCCCACCAGGTCTAGTTGGGCGCCCTGGCACTGCCTGGTTCCACCGCCCTCCGAGGGTCAGATCTGGCTCTTGCTCTGTCGCCCCAAGCGCCTGTGACTGCCTTGCTTTCCTCCCACCCGTAGCTGGAGTTCGGCGTGGTTCACCACTGCATGGAGGAGCGGCTGTACATGGCCCGTCGGGGCCACGGTGCCTTCTGCAACACCCAGCGGCTGTACGTCTCAAAGGAGACAGGTGGGCTCCTGGGGAAGGGGCTGTGGGTCTGGGGGTGGTGGAGGTGCCACAGTTCTGTTTGCACCTCACCTCCGGCGCCCAGAGACTCCTGCTGAGGGCCCTCCCGTTCAGGGCTGAGGTGTCCCTGGTGGTCTGTCTGTCCATCTGTGTGGCTGATGGGACCAGGAGCTCAGGGAGTCTGTCTGCACTCACATCTGTCATCATGAAAGCTGGGACCCCGGTCACCAGTGTGACTTAGTCTCCATTGGGACCGGAGAATGCGCTGACGTCTCAGCCCTTCCAGACACTGATGTGCTTCCTCACAGGATTCTAAACAAAATTTTCCCCCAAAATTACTTGTTTTTCAATTTATGTAGGTCAGAGTCAAAAATAGCTGTGTTAAAGTGAACAGCCGAGTGACATTTAGCACATCCGCAGTGCTGTGTACCTCGCACTCTAGCAAGTTCTAGAACCTTCCCCACTCCACAGGGACAGAAACCCTGTGCCCATAAAGTGCTTTCCTTGTTCTGTTTCCTTAGCCGTCTCTGTTCTGTCTGGAACTTATGCTTTTTAGGTAAAGGAAGGGATTTTACTTTCACGTGAGTAGACTGCAATGCTTGCTGACGTTGGGGCACACTTATCACAAGGCCACGGTGGGAGTGTTGTCCCAGGAGCACGTATCCGACAGAGCCAGGCTGAATGGGGCGTCCTTGCAGGGGCACTGGGACCCCAAGTGAGAGTCTCCCCACCACAGGCCTGGAACCAGCAGGGCCGAGCGACCAGGGCCTGAAACCTCCTGGAGTTCTCAGGGCCATTGTCACAGTGACGGAGCCCTAACCTGTCCACTTCTCAAGCCTGACATTTCCAGGAAGGCAAGCAGGACTCTTGGATACTCAGGTGTCTTAGTAATGCTTAACCAGAGCAGGGTTTTCAAATGGTCAAAATTCAGACTAGTTTTTCTGTTTGCCCTAAACTCTGCTTTATTGAAAAAAACTACACAAAAATGCCCTGCTTGAAAATGTATTAGGTTTTTGTTACTGTGGTAGAAGATATTTACCATAAAACGTGGCACTTCAGTCATCCGTTAGTGAGTTATTGGATGGCATTCGTTAAACCTGTGTCATGTGACCCTCACAGTGGTAGATTTCTGAAATTCTTGTCACCTCAAGCAGGAGCCCCATTCCTACCATCGTGCATCCCATGAAATCCAAAAATACTTTAAGTTAAATCTGTCTATATATTGGCATCTGACTAGGAGCTAAAATAGTATGACAAATATAGGACAAAGAGAAATAAAATACAAAAACCACAAAACTTGTGGACAACTGCTCAGAACTGTCATGTAAAATGCTATTAGAGGGGATCATAACGAATTAGGTTTTTTTTCTGTCTGAGATGCATCACTTAGAAGGCATTTGTCGGTGGATGTTTGTAGGGCAAGGTACCAGTGGCAGGGTTCGTGTGCAGCGCTGTGATGTCAGGGTAACGAGAACCTCACGGCTCTGGCGCACTTGCCGGCCCTGCGTGAGCCCCTGGATTGAGGCACTGGGAGGAAAAGACTGGAAAACTACGAAGCTACAGAGAGCTTTATCTGGGCACAGAGGGTGTGAGGTGGGAAGTGAGGCGTGGGAGTCCGGAGGGTGGTGGCAGGACAGCCTGCCCCTGCCTTCTCCGTCCCGCGGCCAGCGCCCTCTGCGCAGTCCTCCTGCGGTGGGCCAGGCGGTCATCGGCCTGCCTGCCTCTCCTGATAGCTTCACGTCTAGAGGTTTGCTTTTGTAGCACGGTTGACAGGGTAGAGCCTTCCCACATGGCTCTGTCCCATGCACGAGCCTCACCGGCATCCCCTCCAGAGGGGTGTTTGTCGCAGCTGAGACTGCGCCAGCTCCTTGCTGTTGCTGGAGCCCGCGGTGTGCAGCAGAAGCCTCTCAGTGTGCTGCCTTCTGGGTGTGTCCTGGCCTGTGCCACAGACTGAGCCGAGAGCTGCGCTGTAGGAGGGGCTGCCCACTGTGGACACGAAGATGCCCTGGAGTCGGGCCCTGGAGGAAGAGGCAGTGCCACTTTGCTCCCTGGCTGTGGAGCTGTTTGCCGCCTGAGCAGAGCTGGTGTAGCCTGGGACCGGGCAGGACAGGGCAGGTCTGGCAGTGCAGGTGTGGCATGTGGCACAGTGCGGCTGCTTCTGGCCCCTGGGAGTCCCAGCCTCTCGCTTCTGCCCTGGCAGTGCCTCCCAGCCTCTCCCCTTCACGATGCACCATGCGTGCCGTGCCAAGGATCTCAACCCTCAGGCACCTGCTCCGTCCCCGGAGGTGACCTTGCTTCTGAGTCACCTGCTCCTTGGGAGTTTCCATCTTTGTGATCCCAGCAGGTGAAGAAAGAGCACATTACAACCTTTCCAAAGCCGTCTTTGATGAGGCACATTTCCCTCTAAATCCTCTGTTCCCAGCATGGAGTCCTGAGGGTTTGTCCTCTGTCTGTCTGTCTGTCTGTGTGCTTCTGGTACTGGGAATGAGTGCAGGGAGTTCGTGCTGAGCTACACCTGCTTAGCCCTTTCTTCCTCTTCTTTTGAAGACAGTGTTTCTCTAATTGCCCAAGCTGGGCACCAACTTTGCATCCTCCTGCCTCAGCCTCCTGAGTAGAGGTGTGTGTCAGGGTACCCAGCATTGTTCTGTTCTCACATGTGACAACAGTGGTGATTTTCACGAGCACCAGGCTCTGGGCTCTGTGTCTCCCAGGAGGGAAGGCTGAGAACACAGCACAGAGGCCACGTGGCTCCACCGGCTGCCTCCCTCCTCCTCCCGGGTGGGGTGGGAGGCCGGGCTTGACGGCTCACGCTGGGAACTCTCCTGCAGAGCTCTCCAAGGCCCTGATCCTGACAGAAATCGGCTCCAAGCGCGACCCAGCCACGCTGAAGCTGCTCCTGGGCAACATGGAGCAGCTGCTGCTCGCCAAGGCCCACGGGTACGGACTCACTCTGGAGGGCCCTGGGGTGGGGGCACCGTGGTAGGGCAGGGGGATGCGGCGGGCTCAGTCACGGGCCTGCTCTGCCTGGGACCCTGGACGGGGTGGCCCAGCCATGCCCTGGGCTCTGCGTGGACTGTGGCCCGGTTCCTCGCCCGCATGTTCATGAGAGCACACACATGGGCACAACCCTGTGTCTGGCTGCGGCTGCGGTGTCTGTGGCGCTCTGGGCTCACGGAGCCTGCCCTCTGCTGCTGCCACTGCCTGCCCGCCACCTCCGCCTTCCCTCTCCCAGGGTCCGAGTCATCGGCAGCTCCACCTTGGCGCTCTGCCACCTGGCCGCGGGGGCCGCTGATGCCTATTACCAGTTCGGCCTGCACTGCTGGGACCTGGCGGCGGCCACGGTCATCATCAGAGAAGCGGGTGGCATCGTGATGGACACAACAGGTCAGCTCGGGCCCAGAGCACAAAGAGAAGCAGGTGACCCTGGGTGGGGCTCTCCACACGGACCCCAGCCCAGCCCAGCCCAGATACCAGGGCACAGGAACAGCAACCCACAGTCATACCTCACTGCCATGAGGCCCCAGTGAGGTGGACGAGCATGTGTTGTGATCCCCCAGGTGTGTTTGTTGGTTTGTGGTATTACAGTTGAAGCCACTGAGCTATGTCCCCACCCTTTTTTAAATTTTATTTTGAGGCAGCATCTTCCTAAGTTGTCCAGACCAGGCTCTAACTTGTGATCCTCCTGCCTCAGCCTCCCAGAGTGCTGGGATTAGGGGTATCTGGCTTCCCACCAAGCTTTTGAGGTTAGGCGCTTCCCCAAGATCCATAACCCAGACCTAGGTCGGCACCAGTACCCACATGGGCATCCTGCTGGGCTTTAGCAGTGGAGTGGATCCAGAAGGTGACCTGTTCCTTTTGTCTCCTGTCTGTACATCCTGGGGACTGGACACCTGGGGCGAGCAGAAGCCTGTGTTCCCTGGGCTTCTGCCCTCCCTGCCACCTGTCACCCAACATCCAGGTGTGATGGGCTGGGCCAGCCCCATGGGTTCCATTCTGTCCTGGCACTGGGCCAGATCCCGGTCCCGGTGCATCTTCCACAGCATAAGCGGTCCTGTCCTCCAGTCTCTCAGGCCACAGCTGAGCTCCAGACAGCCCTGAGGAAAGCCATGCTGGCCAAGGCAGCCACGTGGATGGGCCAGCTTCCCCCCAGAGAGGCCAGCACTGTGAGCCTCAGCAGTGCCACCGGCCTAGCTGAGTGGGGCAGCCGGGATACAGGAAGTGAGGCACAGCCAGCCGACCGCCCCTTCAGTGTCACCAGACCTGAGTTTCTCCCGTGCTGTCTCTCAAAGCCATGGTTTGGTTCCCACCGAGACAGAGCAGTGGAGAGGCTGCTGCTCCCTTCTGTGTGCTGCAGGGAGCGTCTGTCCCATAACTGGCGTCTGTCTCTGTCCCCAGGTGGGCCCCTTAATCTCATGGCACGAAGAGTGGTTGCTGCAGGCACCCGGAAGATGGCCACGCTTGTCGCCCAGGCCTTGCAGCCAATCAACTACGGGCAGGATGACCAGGCGTGAAACCAGCCCAGCAGCTCCCGCAGCCCCAGGGCCGTTGCCGGTGCACACGCCCTCCCTGGGCTTGGTGTCCTGCTGGCCCCTGATGCCCCGCAAGCTTCTCAGGTTCCTAGCATCCTCCCGGGGTCAGCCCTGCTCAGGAGATGGCACCCCACTCCCCCAGACTCAGGTGATGGCCACACTGCAGGGGACACGGCGTCCTCAGGCCCCAGTCCAGCCCAGCACCTCACCAGGCACTGGCTCTCCACTCCTCTGTCCCTGCACATCTCCTGCCCCTCACACAGCCCAGGCCCAGCTGCAGATGAGGAGCAGAAGCTGGCCATGGCCAGCCCTGTGGGACAGGCGCCCCAGAGCTGCCTCAGTACTTACTGTCATCTTCCAGCTCCCAGAGACCCGCAGAGTGCTCGAAACCGCACTTCTGAAGAGCCGAGCAGAGTGCTTTCCATTTGCATGCGTGCTCTCTGGGCTCACTCCCAGCATGGAGGCCCCATGTGGGTGAGGAGCCTACGAGCCTGCGGCCAGGGGCAGGCAGGCCAAGCCACAGCCGCTGTGGACCTGCCTGCAGCCCAGCGCCGTCAGCACGCGGCCCTGGGGCCTGTGTGGCTCCCACTGTCACTGTCCACCCGCCCTGCAGCTCAGCAGGCCCAGCTGGCCCCGAGGCCTCCACACCGGACACTCAGGGCCCCCAGTACCCCATGTGGGAGCGGTCACCACAGACGGTGTGGGCAGAATAAATACGTCACTCATGCACCTCGGTACATTTGGACGCATTCGCTGTCTCAGGGAACTTCCATTTCCGGTGACCGGGGCGGCCAGGTGACCCACACAGGGTTCAACAGCCATGTTCGAGGCCCAGGTCGGGAGTCCACAGCCTGCTGTCCCCCAGGAGGACTCTGACCTGTGCGGGTCTCTCCCTCCGGCTCTCACACAGCCTCCTGTATCTGCACAAAGCCACTGTCCCTCTTGGTTTGGCCCCATCCCCAGCCTCCAGACACCCTGTGGCCCCAGCCTTGTCCACGGGAGGTGACGTGGGGGTGTGGTGAGACCATGGGCACAGCCTAGCCCAGCAGGGCCAAGTGAGTTACGTCACGAGCCACTGTTGCACAGTGAGGCTAGGGGAGGCGGGGACGGTGTCAGGGAGCATAGAAGGACACTTATGGCCAGGCCAGAAGCTATGGCAGGGCCTGTGGCTGGCATAACAGGAGCCCCTCCTCGTTGGGTCCTCGGCCCAATTCCCACTTCCTGCCTCAGCCTGGCCTCAGGTGCAGAGTGGCCTCCCCACAGACAGCCCGGGGAGGCAGGGGCTGGGGGCTGACAGCGCTGGGATCCCTGTGTGGCCCATCACCCACGGGGACCCTGAGGGGAGAGCCAGGCCACTCGGCACCCAGCCGCCCAGGCCAGGCCCTCCCGGTGAGCCAGGGTGAGCCAGGGGAAGCCACCTCGGCGTGGGCTTCCTCCTCCCCAAGTCCTGTTCCACTAAGGCCAAGGGCAGCGGTAACGGAGCCCATGCCAACACCTGGCCAGTGCCCCACTCTGTCGCCAGGCCGAGTGCCTGCACCTGTGCAGCCTGAACCCGTGGGAGGGCTGGCTTGCGGGTGACACCCCTGCCAGGGCTCTGACGAGGCCACTTCCCAGCATCCACCTTGCTCCTGGAGCGGTGGGTGGGGACAGCCCCCGCCAGCAGTGGAGTCACACGTGGAGAGGTCACTATGTGCTCGGATCCAGAGCACAGGAGCCCAGGCTCCTGCAGCTGAAACACCCAGTGGTGACCACACGACTGGAGCACGGGCGGGGGCCCCTGACCAGGGACAGTCAGCACAGGCGAGAACCAGCGCCTCCCGGCTCCCTGCCGGCAATCCCCAGCTGCAGTGAGACTGGCCTCCCGGGGGACAAGTGGCAGGGCTCGGCTGAGGCAGAATGGCCCAGGACACTCACGGCCACGGAGGAAGGGCCAATGTTTGCAGCCCTTGGAGATGGATCCTCAGTCGTGAGTCCTGTGAAGGGGCTGTGAGCGTCTCTGAACTTGCCGAACCCTCCTTGGTGTCCCTCCCCTGTGCCAGGCCCTTGGTAACTTAGCATCCAAGGCCAGATGTGGAGGGAGCACCACCTTCCTGTTGCCTCGTTAGGAACTGGGGAGAGGACTGCGCCTCGGGAGAGCCCCAGGCTGGCGCAGGCAGGTGCTGTCCAGTCAGGGCTGGGCCCAGAATGCACCGTCCCTGATCACCACACACATGGGAGGGTGGGGCTCATGAGAGCCAGCAGCCCCCAGCTCTCCTCCGCGCGTGCCTGTGGCCACGGGTCCTGTGTGCTTGTGGAAAGCGCTGAAGGACGCTGCCGGGACGTCCAGCTCTCAGGCTCATGGTCGTGCACACAGGCTCTGCAGTTCGGCGCTCTGTGGGAGGGCACCTGCTGCAGACAACGTCGCCACAGACAGACCACGCCACGGGGGAGGAGCCTCGGTGAAACACGCACACTAGAAGGAAAACAATCTGAAAGAAAGAAAACACCAAAATACTGTGAGAAACACAGCTGCCTCATTTTGCACACAACACCTGTAGGCATTCATCTGCGATATTAAAAATATTGACAACGTGGATCGGTCTCATTTTTCGTGCTGAAAATACACTTTTAAGACTTAGGACTAGAGGGATCAGTTACACAGTTGGCAGCCCACGAAGCAGGATCATATCTGCCATGGCTTAGCTGTGACCACAGCAAGTCTCCCGGGACAGTCCGGGCCAGTGCCGGGTCCTGTTCCCCAGGGCCTGGGCCCCTGCCCGCCTGACCGAGTTACTGTGGGGAGGAGACAGAGATGCCCCCGGCTTTGCCTGAAGCTCTGTGAATGGCGCTGTCAGTGAGAGAGCACTGCATCCTGTGGTCTGAGGAAGAGCCGACCTGTGTCTGGCTGCCTGGGGAAGGCGCTGGCCTTTCTGAGCTGCTGAGCAGTTCTAATCACAGTCCTGCAGCGTGAGGAGACTGGATTTGGGGGGGGTATTTTATTTTGGTTTTTTTTTTATTAAAGATTGCAAGCATACATGATAACAAGAAATGAAGATACTCAATAAAAATTTCAAAAATACATATAAATGACAGCAAATAAAGGATATTAAATAAAAATTTATGTAGCACAGATTAGTAATCAAAATACATTATTAGTTTGATATTATCTTCAAACAGTATGTTCTCTCTCATTTTCTTATAATATTTTTGAAATAATGTAATTACAAATAAAATAAAGTTACATATTATAGTTGAGAAACTGTCCTCAAAATTTTATGATTTATAAACTCCTTGGTTTTATTAATTGATAAATATTATATGCTTATTGATTGTACCACTTACATTTTCTAACAAAACTTCCCACAGAAAAAAAATATTTGAAATCCAAAAGCAACTAAAATAATTCACATTTTTAAGATCAGATTTTTCTGTTTCTATTTTATTATATCCCATACTTATTGTTATTATATTTTATAAGCATAATGATAGAATTTAACACCAATACATATGTAATATTCTTCCCAAATGAATGACTATGAATTAAATCAAGCATGTAATTTAGAGAAATCATAAGGTTGCCAGAGAAACTATCAATATGCCAAATGTGCAAAATCCTACCACATTCATGACCATGTTTTTCATTTAATAGTGCACACATATGTGTAAAAATATACCCCCCACACATATACACAATGCAAATTTTCTACAATACAATATATACATTGGTATAATAAAATAGTGCAGTGATGTGTGGAATGTTGGTGATTTGTATAATTTGAGAAAAAACAAATATCATCTTTGAGGGAATTGGAGAATTTGTAATATGTACCAGATACTAAATGATATTAATGATTTATTTAAGTATACTTATAATAAAATTTACTTAAAAATTAATATTTGTCATCAGTAGAAAATAGGTACAAAGATATATTGATAACATAACAACATTTATCTTAACAAATTTCCAACCAAACAAGCTGTAGTGACAGAAAAGGAAGTTTGTAGAAAGCAGAGATGAAAGAGGAAAATGACAGATGGACCTTAATACTTTTCATACTACTCATATATACAGATTTCATAAATTCTCAAATAAAAAAGCAAAGAAAACGAGAACCAAAATAACTCATCAGTTTGGTAGACCAACATATAAAGACAAGGATTAATGTGTTGACAAATTTTAAAATATGAAATGTAAAGCCTGAGATTTAGCTTGGTAGTGCTGCACCTGCCTAGCCAGAACAATGTGCTAAGTTTAACCCCCAGCATCAGAGAAAGAAAAAGAAAAAAGAAAAAAAAGAAGAAAAGGGGGGAAAAAGCATATATACTTTCTGACATAATAAATTAAAAATAAATTATTTGTTATCTCTTCCTCTTGAATTGTTCCCTGCACAAGGATGTAGTGAACTTCGTCTCTTTCAATCAGTTTAGGTTTGAAACTTACTTTGTGTGTAAGATTACTACCCCTGCTTTTTTTCTGGGCTCCTGTTACATGAAGAAGTTTTCTGTCCTTTCACTTTCAGTCCATGGGCTTCTTTTTGCACTAGACGTGTCTTATATACAACATATTATTGGATTTTGTTTCTTAATCCATTCTTAATCTATTTCTCTTGATTGGTGAATTGAGGCCATTGATATTGATGGTTATAGCTGACATGTACTAATTTATTATTGTCATGTTTTTTTCACCTTCTTTTAGTTTCTTGGCTTGCCTATTTGATTTGCTCCGTTGGGCCTCATTGTGTTGTTACCTTCATTGTCTTTTTCTAGGATATTGTTTAGAATTTGTTCTAGTGCTGGTTTGGTATTCATAAAGTTTCTCAGGTGTTCTTTATCCTGGAAATATCTTATTTCCCCACCCATTTTGAAAGAAAGTTTTGCAGGATACACCAGTCTAGGTTGAAAGTTGTTTTCTTTTAATACTTGAAATGTCTCATTCCAGGCTGTTCTTAACCTAAAGGTTTGTATTGAAAAGTCTGCTGTGATTCTGATGGGCTTTCCTTCTCATGTAATTTGTTTCTTGTCTCTTACTGCTTGTAGTATTTTGATCTTCTGTTGGGTTTCTGGGATCTTGATTATTATATGTCTAGGTGTAGATTTTTTTTTGATCATGGCTAATTGGAGTCCTATATGCCTCACTTATCTGTATATCAAATTCTTCCCCTCTCTTTGGGAAGTTTTCTATAATTAATTCTGTGTACAGCTTTTTTAAGTCTTTTGCATTTTCTCCTGCTTCTTCTTGAATTCCTGTCAGTCTTATGTTATTCTTCTTTGTATGTCTAAGAGTTGTTGTGTCAGTTTCTCATGATCCCCTACTGTTTTTAAGCGATCTCTCTTTTCATAGTCACTGACTACAATTTTATCTTCTATATCTGATATTCTATCTTTGGATTCTTTTATTCTTTTGTGAACACTCTCAATGGAGTTTTTAAGCTCCTGGATATCTGTTTGAATCTGTCCTATGGATTCCATTTCTTTCTTGTATTGGGCATTTATTGTTTCCAATTCTTTCTTATGCTGGGCATTCAGGGCTTCTATCATGGTCCTGAGCTCATCTATTTTCCTCTCAGTTTCTGTTCTAGAGTCTCGAATTATAACTTTCATTTTGCTCATCATCTCTATGATTATCTGGAAAATTACTTCTGTTTTAAATTTCTCTAGAGCCTGATTGATCAGTTTTGTTACTTCCTGTGCTTTGAGTTCAGGGTGTCCTGATGATTCACTGTCAGACTTTTCATCCTCATTTGCCCCGCTATTTGCCATTGGTGAACTGGAAGTCTGTCCCTGTATCGTGCTTAAGCGTTTTCTCATTTTTACTATTGTTGGTTTGTCCTTAGTTTAACCTTTAGGTTATTACTTAAATCTTCCTGATATAGTTGGGCTGTAGCCCATGGGTCTGTAATGACTCATAGACATTCTCATTTTCGTAATACCAAAGAAACAGCTCATTGACTCAATCACAATCCTTTATCCTAATTGATACAATGAGCACCACAATATAATGAAGCACAAGTTGCAAATTGACCACTTGTGGTAGCCATCAAGCTATCACCTTCAAACCATGTGAATTTAATTAAAATCAAG